AATATATACGTACATATATATTATCTAGTATATATATATTATCTAGTATATATATATATATTATCTAGTATATTATAATCTAGTATATATATATATATATATTCTGACAGTTCAGAAATTCATTTTCGTGTCACTGTTTCTGGAGGTGTTGAAGTATATAAATGGGAACAGACAGAGAGAGGGATGTGCCGCATGCTGCCAGTTGTTCGCGAGCGGTAGCAATTGTGGAAACTGTCTCAGGCACTGGGCGCGTTAACATTTTAACGCGTTAGCTCGCGAAACGGCCTTCCGGCTCTCTTCAGAATTTCGGTTGACCCCGGAAGTCAAGCATGAAAATTTATTAATCCCCGCAAATATCTTTCTGGTCTCCGTGCGTCATTATACTCGAATTAGTGATTCGTCTCTGCATGTTGCCACGGATGATCTAATATTACAATTGATTGTATAAAATTTTACTTGTAGAAAATTTACTAAAACTTTGTCGCGCATATTATTGTAAAAATTTCAGAATTCGAACACTTGTTTAATTTGAAACTGAGTAATTCATAAATAAATAAAACGCGTGTATTAATTAATCGTACACTAAAGGTTTTCCTAGTCTCACTATTTTGCTCGATATTTTATTCCCTTGATATACGGAACAAATTAAAAACATCAATTTTATTAAATTGCTAAGAATTTAAAAAATGTATGTGTTTATCGAGTGATCATCTGTATCATATTCTTTCGTTTTCATTAAAATTCTATGCCGAGAGTATAATTATTACAAACATATAAAACGAAACTCATAAATCGTTAGAAAGACCATGCCGCTATGATAGACATTTTAAATGGGTTGCTGAAAATATAATCCTCGAGCAAATTCCATCCGCGATTTTAACATCACGCAACATAGGTTATATTTGTTACTGCATACCTCGCGAGCCTATCATGCAAATATTATTTCATATACATATGTATAATAATGGCGTTGAAATTTCAGAAAAATTAGGTCAAGCTTCTCAAGCATGCTTTTGCTTTGTGCATTTTGACAGCAAATATCTTTTTTTGCTATGTTTTGTCACGATTTGGAAATTTGCCGAAAGTTCGCGTAAAATCGTATTGTTTGTGATTTTCGTATCGATTGCGCGGAATATGATTGATACTCGACAACAACGATAACCACGAATGATAAATCAGACATCCGCGGCACGTCGCACGACTGCATATTGCAATTCGTAAGTGAAACTGTGGTAGACCTAGAGCGAAAATCGAATCGGACTCTTCGTGAGAAGAATTTTAATCAGCTATTATTGCTGAAATGTAGGCAGCTTATTTTTTAATTTATAGAGCGACGTTACGCCTCCGTATAATCTACTAAATACGTACTGCTTTCATATCATGCTTCAGTATTACTTTGAAGGACATATTACAAAAACACAAGGGATCGTACGTTTGGGTCATCTGATAATCTTGCACATGATTATCAAAGGTATTATATGTATTATGTATCTAAAATAATATTCTTGTCTATAATAACAGGATAACGGATTCTTTTTTTTTTTACAGAAAACGTAAATTACGCACATTGAATATTTTATGAAAAATCTGAATGAATAATACAAAATAGTAAGTCTAATCAATAACGCATACTAATTAAAATTGTAATTTTTAATAAACCTCGTGACTAACGGATTTGTTACCTCGGATTTGTTACTTTTATTTAAATTATGATCATGTTGACGTATTTAGAAAATTGAGTTTGGTATACAACATTATATTTATCGCTAGAAAAACGTGAGCAAATATAATTATAGACAGCTAATTAATATGTCAGTACTCACTGAACCGATATAACCAGTGTTGGAACGTATCTAGGTAAAAGTATCTAGATACAGTATCTAGATACTTTAACTGTACCTAAGTGCATTACCTAGATCCTTATAGGCGGAGATACCTATATCCGTACCTAGATATTTTTTGATACGGTATCTTTTAAGTTTTAGATACATAGATACAAGGTATTTATACACAAATACTGTCGCCACTATTAAAAGTGCCTTCCTACAAGCGACACAGTATAACACAGTGATCATCTCATCCTTGTTTAACATTTACGAACAACAAGGATGTAATGATACACTGTGCCTCATACCGTGTCATCTGTGTCGCTTGTTGAAAAGCAAGCAAATACTAAATCAACTCAGAAATTAACAATCTAGTACTAGTACTTATGCGCTGATATATTAATTAAAGACCGATATTCTTATGGTTAAAGCTATTCATTAAAACTAAAAATTTATGTAATCAAGGGTAAGAAATTGATAACGAGTAGAATTAATTTTATGATTTATCAGTTTTGTAGATATGCTTATGCATGTAAAACTAAATAATACTCAATATTTATTTAAAACTATTAATGAAACAGATTTTAATGTTATCGTCTGGGTTTTGTTAAAATAAACAAACAAAATGTGATATTTAATTTACGTTGCTTATTACTTCTATTTTTCCTGTTTTCCCCCATTTTTCCTTCTTTTTTTATTGAAAGTACCTAAAAAATATCTAAATTTTCAGATACTTTTTATTTATATCTGTATCTATACCTAGGTAATTGTAAAAAAATGTATCTATACTTATATCTATAATAAATACTTTTCCCACACAATACCTATATCTATATCTAAATACCTTTCAAATGGTATCTGTTCCAATACTGGATATAACATAATATTTGATTTAAGATTTCCGCTCTATAGTAAAATCTGAATTATTTACATAATTTATATGTAACAATATTATCAGATTAATCTGTAAACTAGTAATTTATAATAATATTTTTTTAAATGTTCTATATAACACGTCACTTTTATGACGAATGTTAATTTTAATATATAAGTAAACAATTTATATATACATATACATATATATATATATACACACAGTAAAGTTAATGTTCCATCTTTTTATTTCAAGTATTTTATTTGAATCTCTGTATCCGCATAATTTTGTCGGAGCTCATTTCATTTCCAGAGAAAAAAATTCACATAAATTGTGCTGATAGTATCACATAACTTTGTACCGCGACAAAGAAACGTACGACATTCAGTTTCGCTACAGAGATAAAATGTACAAAGTGTATCAAGAACGATAGGGATGTACAAATAAATCAGATTCCCTTATCGCTGACATTCAAAGTCAAAGAAGAGTGCATAGTATTCAGCGTAGGTTTGAAAGATAAACAAGATGCCTAAGAAACTTTTTTTTATTTTTAATGGATTTTCTAGTAATAAAAGAGTCTAATACACGGAAAGAATTTTTTCTTAGAATTTACCCTGAAAATATGACAGTCGTAGAACAACATTGTATTTCGAAGAATTTTAATATAAATCTCTCTCATTCATTAATAAAACTTCAATAAAGTATAAAATAAGTTTGATCAATTTTACTGAAATACATGGTAAAAATCTTTAAAACATTGTATACCTTGTACCATAACTACCATATTTTCAGGGTAAATTTAAAAAAAAAATTCTCTCCATGTAACTAGTATAATATGTTGAATTAAAATTTTATTAAGACTATTTCACACAAAACGTTTTTTCTGTTTGCAAAATTGAATACTATAATTTGTAATGTTTCTTCAACTTGTTTATTTCTCGCGTGTTATATTTTATATAATGAATAAATTCGTCTTTGATGCATCATACTTCGATATAGTATATATTTTTCATCTTTTAAACTGGTGATAAAGTAATAGTGTTATAATGATATTATAATAGTTGTAGTTTATATAAAAATAAACATTATAAATTTTTATTAAAAAGATAGTAAATTATTTATTTATTTTATGTGTTACACATAAATGGCCTATTTATTTTTTCATTAATTCTAGCTGTAATAATTAAACAAAATGGTTTCGATCAGAAAAAAAATTTTGAATAAGATATTATAAACATATTATGCATTTTATTATTATTTTTATTTTTCTAATACGTATTTCTCGAAATACGTATGTTAAGAAATTTTTAAATATATAAAAATTATTTAATTAAAGAAATGTTTTTAAATGTCAACGAATTCCCATAGCTATCTAGTATTGTAAAGTATGCGTGTCACGATTGTAATGATTTTCTTTCCTTGATGAATGTGCTTCATCGACTGGCACTACCAGTAATATAGTGGAAAATAGCGAGTGAGAAAAAGAGTTACCTGCGATAAGCACCATATTTCTTATGTTTTACGAAAAGAGAGGTTGGAATGGTAGACATGAGAGAACAACGGCATAAAGAGCTGAAAGATCAGATAACGTAAAATTTTTTTATTGAAAAAATGCACAGCCCAAGTTGCTAAACAGAAAAAAAAACCGTAAAAAATACAGTGCGAAGAAAAAATGAATAAATAACTCGTAATTGCATTAAATATAGAAGGTGTAGCTGTTATGTTTATATTGTTATATGTTTGTAACATATTTCGCATTTTATACACAAAGTTAAAAACGGTTGGTAATTTTTCTTAACTGTGGTAATTTTTCAACAACACTAAAGAAAATGATAATTTAAAAGAATTAATACAAATTAAATAAACTTTGTATATGTGTGTGCGTGTATACATTTTGCGTTTTACTAACGAATATATCACAAAAATAATAAGAATTATGATTAATCCAACGAAGAAGTGCAGGATGTAATAATATTTGGCCTATCTATATAATATGAAACAAATATATTACGTGATCTATTTGAAAAACTAATGTCGAAAAGAGAAAGAAAGAGAGAGAGAAAATTGTCAATATATTAAGTAGTTAATTAGATAGATGTCAATAATAGATGATTGAAAGGGAATAATGAATGATTTCTTAGTACTTATGCTTTAAAGTATCGATTTTTTTTAACTGTATGAACACACAATTTGTACTTTATGGAAATTCTGTTAGGTGTGGCATTACTAGTCAGAATTAGGCGGAAGTAAAGGCACACACCCATTTGTGAAATGGTGGACAACAGATAATTGACTTAAAATATTGAGTATAAAGTGAAATTGTTTTTCGTGGAAACAAAGAATATAATAGAGATTCAGAGACGTACCAATCTATATCGTTCAATTATGCTGTGCGTTATTTAAAGATTTACGTCGAAAGTAATCAATTACAAGAACGCGTTTTTTAAGAGATTGCCAGACAAAATGGTAGTCGTATTGAATGTGATTCATTAGAGTTTTCGGACTTTGATTTAATTAATTCTATACCAATTCTGTAATAATTTTATTAAAATAAATGTATTATATATATAAAATAAATGATATGACATTTCGTGTGCCACCCTGCATTTCACAAATTGGTGTGTGCGCCTTGCATCTGCGTCAAATTCCGACTCGCAATGCCACACCTAATAGAATTTCCACGAAGTAGGTATAGAATTTGCTTACACAGTAAAAAACCGATACTCTTTAAGTATAAATGTAATGAGATAATTAAATGGTATAACATTTCATACACCATCCCACACTGAAAAAACGCATGTAATTTTACATGGAAATTACATGTTTATGACTGGAAAATTATCTAAATTACTTAAATATGATTGGAAATTTACTGGAAATTGTAAATTTCCAATCATATTTAGGTAATTTTCCAGCCATGAACATCTAATTTCCATGTAAAATTACATTTTTTTCAGTGTATATATACACAATTCATAGTATATATATATATATATATACACACATAATATTAGTATATACATATGTATATAAATTGTTTGACATTTAAATTGTAATAAAATTGTTTAAAATCGCTTCTAGAGTTATATACTTTTAAACGTATACACACACACATATATATATATATATCTAATCATATTACTCACAAAATTATTATCTGATGCTTAATAATTTATATGTTTTGTTTTATTTACAGACTTTCATCGAGAGATGATCGCAAGTTCAGAAGACCAAATAAAACTGCAATTATTGCGAATGCGGACAGTGAGAATCACTATTATATTTTTTATTTATATTAAACTGCAAAATTTTAATATATATTGCTCAAAAGAATGCTATAATAATTATCGTTGAAAATTTTCGATAAAAAAAATCATTCATGAAACTATGAACAGTATTGTGAAATAATCGCAAAACGTGGAACTCTGCTTCGAACGTGCAAAAAATATTGATTTTATCGTAGCATTGTTCTGGACTGTAGTTCTAAATATTACAGAACTAGCAAGCAGTGAGCAAAACATTCACGAATACAGTGTGTGATAACAGTTTGATAAAGTGACATCTCTCAGAGCAATGTAACATTCGCTCTATCGGAATATATTTCACTGGCATGGGCGCATGAGAGAGAAAACGAAAGATCGAAGAGCACGAATGACAAGAAAATGTCGATTCAGAAGCGCAACCTGTCCGATAACCCCGTTTCTACAGAATATTTCGGTACTTTAGGGGCCAATGATGACTCGTCGATCATTACCAGCTTTCCCCTGTTCTCCACCGTCACTTCCAGAATTGTCAACGTCACCTCGCCAATTATCCCGCAGTCATCAGGTCAAGACAGTCTCCTGGAGAATCTTATTATACCATTATATGGTACAATCTTCTTTCTTTCCATCGTCGGGAATTCTTTAGTGCTCATTACCCTGGCGAGGAACAAACGGATGCGCACAGTGACAAATGTTTATCTGTTGAATTTGGTAAGTTTCTATACTCTACTTGATTTCTATACTCTACTTAGTTAGATAAAAAACGGCTGTTATGGCTCCTCCATAAAAATGTGGAAAACTATAAATTTACAAAATAAATTATTCTTCTTCATTTGAAATATCTAATATTGATAGACTAATTTTCAAAATTTTAAGATTATTTAATACATAATTAAGAAATATATTTCATGGCTCTTGTTTCTAGTAAAAAGTACGTGATACATTGCTTTTTTAAACAAATAATCAAGTTTTTTTTTAAATACGAATACTGTAAAATGCATTTTAATTATAATTATATATTTTAAGAAACAATTTAAATACATTTTTTTGTTCATAAATATGTACCTTATTTAAAATTCAAATAATAATACATTCCACTATTGATGCCGACCGGATGCTGCAGAAATTGTTCATCAAAGATCTCGCAAATTAGCTTTCATATTTTGCACACAATGGTATTTAGCGGCAACATGCGGTAACAGGTTCATCCAAAGCTGATTATCCCGGTGACATTACTGACAACATGCGATAACATTAGATTGCTCTGTAATTGATCTTAATTGAATATACCCGAGATGAACATTCTGATATTATCTTTCATATTTGTTTGAAAATTATTATTAAAATCCAGTTAGTAAATTTTTTTTACTTGTGCATACCGTATTTATAACTCATAATAAATAAACAATGTTAGTAAACTTTTAATTAGCATAGTAATAATAAATATTAAATTCAATCTCACATATCCACAGAGCCGTTACTCTTTAAATATATAATTATTTTTTAATAAAGTTCATGTCTCAAATCATCTATCAATTATATTCGATGCAAAGTCCTTTCGTGATTCGAACATATGTAATATATGATTCAAATATAAGAAAAGAGAGTTATATACTAGAAAGACATTTATTTATATAATATTGCTTTCTTGATTACGTTACATCAACTACTTATTTTTGACACATAATTTTTCATCCCTCAATTTTTCATTCCCGCGCGGTTAATGCATTATTTAAAAATAATGTGCAAACGCATTCTACCTATAGATTTAAACGCTTTTTCAAATCAGACACGAGGTAAAATATAATATTGCGTGTGTGCTCAATGAAATATTTCTTGCAACTTTTACAATGTCTCATGCAGGTTTCTGTACGAGCAAAAATATCCGCTGGCTTGCGCGAGAGTTAATAAATAAAAACAGAGGATGATAAGAGAGGCAACGAGACCAGGAGATTCAAGGGTCTGCAATGTCCTGCGCGCATCTGTTTGCCAGACCGTTTTTGCATATTTCGCGCGAGTGATGTACGGAAAAACTGCCAACAGCACTATTTTTTTGGCTATACCGGCTGCTAGTGATTCGTCACGCAAGCATTGTCATCATTCTTCCAGAACAAAGAAAAATGTTGGTCACGTTCCCGAATATCGGAAACCTAAGACCTTTTCTCGCTATGTTCAATGAGGGCAAACAATTGATCAGTGATAAAGTGGGTTTTTTTTATAAAGAATATTTGCGGACGTCATATGGCATTTAGTTGATTAATTTTACTTTATCATGTAAAATCGCAGCATAAGAAATCTTCAGCTTACGCAAAAACAAAATTTATCGGCGTCAATCGTTCATTAATATAGAAAAAAAATGTTTCTGGTTTACAGCTAATTCTGATTAGTTGAAATTGCATTAGCTACTATAGCTATGAATTTGCTAATACATACAAAGGATTTGCTGCTCTAGCTAATATAAGGACGTGATAGCAAAATATGCATGTCTGTTACAGATCGATTTATTTAGCAATGTCAAGTTAGTTGTCACAGTTATCGGATATGTCCGTGGAAAAGAAAATTGTCTTTACCACAGTTAAATATGGTTTGCTGAAACTGTACTTGCTACCAAATTGTCTGTTACACAGAAAACGTTTGCTGCAATGATCAATACATCGACATAATAGCAAAATGCTTGTCTGTTACAATGATAATATTTAAGCCTCACAACTAATGGAAATTAGACCTCGCAGATACGACGTTAGGTGTCCATATAATGCTACTGAATTTAGCTGCCATACCTAATTTTTAGCTGTGGGAGCTAATCTTTTTTTTCCGTGAATACATATACTTTTTAATGTCGATAAATTGTTCAAGATATACTTTTAATAATTCAATAGATTTATCTTTAAGAAGAGTGTAATTTTTAAATATTGCTACTCTTTTCATGAAATGGCAACAATAAGATATGCAATGAATAAACAATAAAAATAAAAAGTATAGATGATTTACAAAGCAGTAGAATATATTGTCAATATTTTATCGATAAATGAAAATCCATTAAAATGACCGTAATCTTTAACCTTGATATATTTTATTTCTATCCGACCCATAGATATTCGATATATATCACTTGTTTTACGATATTTGTTCACTCGTGCGCAAGATATGAAAGTATAATCAAACTCTTTTAGGGATTTTTTTTACATAGACTATACATCGAAATTGTTAGCGAAGAAATATGAGTTTTTGAATATTTATATTAAACAAAAAATTCTAGTTGCACTTACAAATTGCAAAAGTACAAAAGAGAAAGCATGCACAATGCATAAAAATAATGCAAATATTATTTATAAATATTTAAAATGCAACGGATAAATATTTAAACTGATAAATAGGATTCAACTTTTTTTTGCTATTTTGCCTGCTCATCTCCACATCAAAGTATCCAACAGCATGCAATTCAAAGTGTAGATTTTTCATCTTTTTTTAGATTTAGCTTATTCAAATACGTAAAAATATATTGCTTGAATAGGAAACTGTTTGCAATATATACGATATATACATATGTTATCACTGTTGCAAAATATATTCATGAGTAAGAGCAATAACTTCAAATATTTAATTGTAAACGTTGCAATAATTACAATATTTATAAACATAGATACTTTATTTAACGTTTTCATTAAATATTAAAATTTACTACCTATCTATAGATCAAGATTATGAATTATAATTACTGTGTTTTTTTATTCATGTGAATACTTGAAACATTTTTTTACGTTCAGAAAACAAAAACATTTCAAATTGAAATAATTAACGAATAAATTTCAAGCGCATTTATTTTATGTAAAATTAAGTAAAATTTATAATTACTGATCATGCATCATTATTATTATTATTATTATTATCAATACATTTGATTACGCAAAATAACAATAATTAAAAGCAATAATTAAAAAAATAAGTATTTACTTTATAAGTTAAATATATAATATTAAAGTAAAAAGAATAGGTCTTTGCTTCTTTAAACTAAAATCTTTAAAAATTGATGCAAACTCTTAACTGTCGTGTGAGTTTAAAAATTGCGTAGGCTTTTTTACATAAATATTATTTAGTAAAAAACCATTCACCGCAAAAGTAGAGGAAGGCAATAACTTCATCACTATAAGTCCCGTCGCCATATGACATTTTTTTAAATAAAAGTAGAATATCTTAAGTTTTTTAAAGAAACTTGAAATATGGAAAAAATTTTTTAAAAGAAATACATTTATATGAATACTTTCGATATCGATTTACGCAGAATCTTTATGCATAAAAAAATCTAATATTTCTTGGAAAGGTTTTAAAAATTAAAACTAAAGTTCCTATAAAAAGCACAAGAGCAGAACTAATTTATACGTACCTTTTTAATTATAATTAATAATTAATTAAAAAGGAATTTCTGAGAAATTCGGTATTCAAGGTGCAAATAATGTATCCTTAACTATTTAATTACAAAAAAATAACGTAAATAATTTTTTAATACAAAAAGTTAGATTTATTAAAGTTCATGCTAAAAAAAATTAATCTTAGATTGATAAAAATATTTAACAATATAATTTTTTGGCATTTTTGTTATATTCCTCCAGATTATTTCCAGGCATTATTATACTGTAACAATATACCATATTATCAATTATAATAAAATAATAAAACCATAACTCATATATAATTTGTAAATAATATAAGAATCTTTTGTTATACCAATTTTTATTATAATTTTATGCAAGTATATATTTACTTAATAGTACTTTTATTATAATTATTATGTTTTAATATTAATTGATAATAAAAAGCATGCCGCTCTGTTGATGTTTAATCAAATCCTCATTACAGATAATTCTCATAAAAGCTCGTCGTATTCGGATCTCATAATGGTACTATGCAAAAAAAAAGTTTCATGAAGAAATATTTCTTTTATAATAGATATTCTTAGAAATAACGTTATGTAGAATAATGTAAGATTATAAGATAAATACTATTATAAATTTCTGGTTATATAGAAAATTAATAAAAAAAGAAATTTTGACATAATTTTATACATTAAATATTAAATAATATACTACGGAATAAAAATATGATAGTAGTGTAATTATTTTATGATATTAATAGTAGTACGATTTAAAAAAAAAAATATATATATATATATGCAATTTAAAAACAAAATTCGAACAATTACCAATTAATATATTTTAAAATATAAAACAAAGTATGATATTTGGAGAGAAAGTGTCGTACTGATATAATTTATCGCAACGATATTTCAACGATATTTCTCATTAGTTCTAGCAAAGATTTATACTTTACAATTATTTTTAAACAGAGTTTCGGCTGCAATTTTTTCAATTTTGATTTTTTAATATGAAACATGCGAACTCTTCCAGCATGATACTTCCTCTCTAAAGTATAAGAAAAAGATAAATATTTTCACTTTTGACTACAGATCCTGTAAGTACCACTCGGATTTTACCGAGATAATATGTATTAATCTTTCATACTGATTGTTGGCTCTTGATTGTCTTAATACAGTATTTCCTAGCAAAATCCTCTTGTGAGGTTCCCGCTCATGTAAGGCATATATTTTCCAAATATTTCATTTTGCGTTTTGTATTTCTGCAATCTTCCTTCAACAAGGATTCATCGTACTGATAAGCGCCTTAGCAAAGACTTTAGTTTGGCGCCGGGAAGCTTTTCCGGAAATGTAGTCAATAAATATAATATGCTATATGAATTCGCTGTGTGTTCGTAAACCATATAGATTATCGTATCGATACCAACTCATCGTGTGTAATATTCTTGCAAATAAATAACATCGAGTAAATAAATTTAATTTAATTTCCTTAGAAATATAGAAAATATCTATTTTTATATATTTATTTTGTGATATGTGATTTATTTTGTAGGCGAATTAGCGATATACTGTTGTCTATTAACAAAATATTCTATGTAGTTTGCAATACGTAAAAGATTGTATACACGATAAAACGCTTCTCGGTATCAGTTGTATATTTAATATCGTAAAACGGAAACCTACTCATGCATAAATATCACAAAATGTAAATTTAATCGCAAATATTTTTTACGACCTTTGCACATCGTTTATTTCCCGCTGGTATTTTGACTAGCGCTAAAAAAATTATTTGTGGAAAATTTTAGAATACTGTAATCTGTGATTTAAATACCAAAGAGTTCGCGTATTCATATGGACCAGACATCGCAAATGACACCGCCTGCTTCAAATTCGTCGTCATAATGGCCTTTTGTCTTCCACCACATGTATCACACGCCGAGCACAGATTCCTCGAATTCCAAGAGAATATACGCTAAATCATCATAAATAATATGTAGTGACTACATCTCATATAGTATCAGCTTTATTTATGTCTGCGTTATGTGAATTGTTTTTGACATTACGAAAGAAAAAAATGGTAATGCTTAGACACGTGGGATGAAATTCATTATAACCAACGTCATAATCCTGCATGGAGATTTGTAGATTTTGAAATAATAAAAAAAGAAATGATAAAAATTGAACTGCAATTATAGAATTTAAAAATGTAATAATAATAGATCTATAAATGAATTCGAGCTCTGCATCTACAAATCTTTTTTACGTAATTTGGTGTACAAACGAGAATTTTTTTTTATTGATCTAATGTATAAAAATTTCACGCAAATTGATTCAGAGCGATAAATTTTTTTCAATATGTTATTCGCATGGTAAAATGTCAAAGTTGAGACTGCTTAAATGCTACGCTAGTGTTCCCATCAATCAGAAATGATCGATACCATGTTCTAATTCAATATCATTCATCTGATCTCCCTTTCAACTTTCTATTTGTTCAATATATCTAAGACCACTAAATCAATATACAACAATTATTTTTATAACATGATTTTTATAACCGTAACAATTTAGAAAATAAAATGTCTATACCCACATGTTGTATAACACACATTTCTCTTGTTACGCTCATTCATCACCTTTAGAGATATCGATTATTTGAAATATTTTTTATTATTTCTATTGTGACTCTCAATAGATTATATTGCATCATCTATCTTAATATTTAATTATTATTCTAAATTGTATTGTACGTTATATTTTTTTAGATAAAATTTATTTGTTTAGAAATTTAAAAACATTGTGATAAATAAAAATTAATAAAATGTATTGATATTTATCTATAAAATTTATATCAAACTTAAATCAAGATTTCTAGCACATGATTCAATTTAATCTATCTCGCTTTATTGATTTCATCGTCGTTGGTGAAGTAAAGGTTCGAATCTGTCTCTGACAGAGGGTCGGCAATTGAAAGGGCCGAAAATTATTTCGCGTGTAGGAGTCAGTTAACAATTAACTGCCAAAGGTGACAAGTATATGACATTTCCACGATCGTGTTCATCGTAACGAAAGCGGAGAAAGTAATTAAAATAAAATAAAATAAAATTGAAAACTAACTGTCATGGGAGTTATATAAACGACATGAGATGTTATTTGCAATGTTACTAGGAGACCACGAGTTTTCTATGCATCAACTGCGCTGGATATTCTGCCGAAAACATTAATTGAATCTATAAAACTTTATTTTGAAAAGAGCTTGTGATTGTATTTTTAAGAAAAAAATTCACCTTAAGAAAAGAACAAAAGAAATTTAAAGGATTCTTCGTCAATACAATTTAAGCGGGGGTGCGCCAATAAAGCATAAATCTTCTGTATATTTTCTGTATATCGTATATTTATAATATAAAAAATATGATATAAATAAATAAAGTATATATAATCAATATAATATATTATAGGATCGTATATGTGAGATAATACAAATTAGAGAAATCAATGCTTTAAACGGTCTAGCTGGATCTTAAATACTTGTGTGAATTTATATATTATGTATGTAGTCCTTTGAAACGCGCGCCGAAATGATTTTTCGGTCTTGAAACGCTAACTCTATTAAACTTGTGACTCTACAAAGCTTGTAAGAAATCTATATAAATATTTTTTTCCAGATGAAAAACACAAGTATGCACTCTGATTTCAATGCTGCATTTTTCTGTGTGCAAACTTGATGCTTTCACATTTCCTTTGTTTAACAACTGCGCGCCCTGGTCTGATCAGAAATCCGGAGGCAGAGAGTGAATAAAGCTTTATTTCTTTTTTGGTTAAATAATCCCAATTAGAATCATTTATTTTGTGATGAATTCACAGGAAAGTAAATAGAACAGATAAATCAATTCTCCTTGCGCTGAACAAGAATCAATTAACGCTGTCAGGTAGATTGAATTTCAGATAGTCCATTTCACTACTATAGTCTACTCAACGTATCGTAATTTTTAACAAAAACTTTTGCTAACTTGAAATAAAACTATATGTTTGCCAATCACAATAGGAAGTTAGATTTCACATATGAATGTAGATTTTTCAAACGCTTCTATATCACGTTAAAAATTATTCGATGATATAGAATATATCAATATATGCGCGCATGCATTAATATTTTAAAAATCTGTGTGCATGTATTACTTATTTTAAAATTATAAGTAATTTTCAATTATATAATTTGAAAGCTTTAATATTATCATTGAAGAATTTTATATATGCATATATATTTATATATATATTTATATATAACTAGATATTCGCAATATTCGAATAACATTGTATTATACCACATTTTCATTTATTTATACAAGTAAGTTTATTATTCTACATTTATGTTAACTATGCCAGAAATCAAATTGTAAACATATCGGTAAATGTTAAATTTATATATATATATATACACACACACAACACATATATACATATATATACAACACAATATTTATGTATGTATTTATGGTACTCATTAAAATATTTCATGAATTATTTGTACGTAACGGTATAATATATAACACGATTTTTAAACTAAAAATGTTAAATAAATATAATATATGCCGTGAAAATAAATTTAATTTTAGTGACAATGCTGAAACATAAATGCGCCGATATATAGATATACAGATATAATACATATATAGATATAAAAAACGAAACGAAAAGAACGAATTTACGAAAGAAAAATCAAGATGTTGAATGTATCTACATTTCGCGTGATAATCGAATAAAGTGACGAAACTTGGATATCTCAAGATAAAACTTTCAATTGTATGACAAGCCAAAATGTTGTAACACATTGGAAAAGTCTACCACTTACATGACAACGTTAGAATAAAAGAACTATCCTAATCAATAAGAATCTTTTATTCTGATTTGCAATTATTTGTATTTTAAGTAAATTAAAACTGGTTAGATCTACTGTTTACACCTTTTTTACGAGATAAAACGTTCTTCTTAATATAATAAGGTTGGAAAATGAAGACATATCTTCACCATTCGCTATACATTTTCAATTATGTACGTACACAATGAAAGAGGAATAAATTTCTTTTAATATATTATGAGTTTATATACTGAAGTGGTAGACACGACATTCATAAAAATTTTCATACAATTTTGTAATATTTCTCTCAATGTCACTTTAAAAAAACACAACTACATGTTTACATAGAATTACAATATAACTGTGTTGGAGCTCGTTGGAAAATCATAATTTCTGTTTACACCAAGTCTCCCTTGGACGTTTGAACATGTTGACTGTAATATGAAACAACTCATATTTTGGAAAACGCAGTCAGGATTATGATATCTGCGCTTATCGTGCCATTTTTGAGCCTATTTCTCACAGATGTTTCCTGCATAAAAGGAGATAAACGGCGTCAACACGTAAACATTGATACAAACTGTAATATTTATCACGATGAAATAACACGTCTCTACGTTTCAAAATATTCACAATTTTTTTTCGATTAACCGAAACCGTTAAATCGGTATCGAATATAAATATCCTAGTTTCTCTTCTATTTGCTATTGCTTTATCCTCGTAAATTTTTTAGCTGTCATATTTCATTCCGATTAATATTAGATTTCCTCTAAAAATATTTTTCAAAAGTTGTTGATAAGTAAAAGCGAGTAATATAGATTAAAGTTACATTTTAATTAAAATTAACTAAATATTTCTAAAAATTTTAGTTAATTTTAGTTAATTTTAATTTTTAGTTAATTTTTTCATTAAGTTTGCTCCTTAATATAAACCACTAAATTTAAAATATATGATATGTATTGAATTATATATAGCATCTTGCAAAATTTACAAACGATTGAGAAGTTTAAATATTCTTCTAACAAGAAATTTGTAACTCCGTCTAAACGTGTTACGTCCGACTACTTGGAAACAGTTATTAAACTTGCGACTTTTCAACTTTCTACCTGGTAGAATAGCTGGACCGCAAAACGCGAAGAATAAAAGTTTGGCGAAGCCATTAAGTGGTGCTTATATTGATATTATTTTATTCCTCTTGTTTTTTAATCCATTAATACAATATCTTGGGAGAAACATCTTGGAAGAGCTCCGTTTGCCTACAAAATGATTGCCTA